CTGAATAATAATCCCGTTAAGAACTGAAAGACTATCATATTTTTCTCGATTCGAGAAAAATACAGAAACGAAGGACTGGTGTAAGTTATTATATGGTCAGAACCAAAATAGATAAAAAATTTTGATATATAAAAAATTTTAATAATGATATGAAAGTACGTTTTTTTCGTAATTCTTAAGCAGTTTTCTCAGAATCTACAAAAGATAATTCGACGAATTTTGTCACAAGTCATTATTTTACCCAGGGATCAATTATATTAAAAATCATAACAATCGATCCAAAATTTCCCATTGCCCCCATACAAAGGTACATATTTCCGGAAATGGATTTATCGTTAATAACTTCCTCAAATATATCGGTATCAACTCAAAATTTTGCACATATAAAATATAATATGAACAGAAATCATACCACTAATGTAGATTGTTATCGGTCCACAATTGGTCATGGCTCCCATATAAGGCCCACTTCCGAAAATCACTTAAAAGCGTATATACGTTTTGTGTATGTATTAATCACTTTACGAAATTTTTTCCGAATCGGTCCATAATTGGTCATAGCTCCCATAAAAGGTCCACTTCCGAAAATCACTTAATCGCTCATATTTCATTAACTAATAAAGCAATCGGGGTAAAATTCGACATGAATATGTTTTGTGTACACATAAATCATTCAGCGATTTTTTCCGAAGCAGTTCACAATTGGTCATAGTTCCCATAAGAGGCCCTCTTCGGAAAATCACTTAAACGCGCATATTTCATTGATTAATCGTTATCTATCGTTATAAAATTCGACATGAATATGTTTTGTGTATGTATCAATCACTCTACGAATTTTTTCGGGATAGGCCCGTAATTGGTCATAGCTCCCATATAGGCCCTCTTCGGAAAATTACTTAAACGCGCATTTTTCATTGATAAATTAAGCTATCGAGATAAAATTCGACATGAATATGTTTTGTGTATGTATCAATCAATCTACGATTTTTTCCGGGATAGGGCCGTAATTGGTCATAGCTCCCATATAAGGTCAACTTCCGAAAATCACTTAAACGCACATATTTCATTAACTAATAAAGCTATCTGGATAAAATTCAACGTGAATATGTTTATGCGAAATTTTTGCCGAATCCGGTATACGGAATTTTTTCCAGATCGGTCCATAATTAGTCATAGCTCCCATATAAGGTTCACTTCTGAAAGTCACTTAAGGTGGTAGTACACAACACGCGTTGAGGCGGCAACGCGTTTTACGCTTTTCAAAATTTTCGCGCTTTATAAGCTGCAAGATACACACCACGTTTTTTGATCCTTCTTTTAATGTTTTTTAACGCTATTACTGTTTAAAATAGTAAAATTTTAAGTTTTTGTTGAAATTTTTAATATTTTTCTTTGTTGGTGAAATTTCATTGTTGGTGAGATTTATTTCATATTAGTATATTTTTATTCTATTCAAAATAAAATACAACCCTGATCAGCTGCCGACGCTTCAAAAGTTGAAAGTTGCTGAACTTTTCGCGACAGACGCGTTACTAACTATAGTGTGTAACTTCTTAAAAGAACGCGTTGCGGCGTACAACGCGTGTTGTGTACTTCCACCTTTAATACCACATAATTCTTTATTAAATGATTATATCCGGATAAAATTCAACATGAGCATGTTCTTTGTATATAAATATAAATAATTTTGCTTAAATGTTTTCTAATTGGTCCATTATAAGTTGTGGCTCCATTTAAGGAAAAAAACATCGTTTCAAAAAATACTAAAACGAATATATTTCATTAAAAATATCGACGTCGGATTAAAACTTGACAGAAATATGGCAAATAGTCAGGTTCGGTTATTTGGGGGTAGGTGAAATAATAGTTTCATATAAACCATTTTAAATAGGGTTCGTTCTTGGGGTAAAAGAGCAGTGATCTTTAATATATTAAAGATTTACATAGACGGACAGAGCCTATTGGTATGCTTTACGGTGGGTATTCTGCCAATATGTTCATTTATTTTAAACATCAGCACAAATTCATAATATACTCACCACTATAGGGCAATTCCAAAATAAATCGACCAAAAAACGCTGTTTTAAATTTTTGTCTCCTTCGATTTTTTTTCAAATCGGGAGCATATATTCTACTCCTGAATGCGGTTTCTATGGCGTATAAATTGGATCCTTAACTCATTCAGTTCATTTTTTATGGGTCTTTAAAGTAGGGCATCTCGGGTATTTTTGTTCAAAATAGAAATGTTGATGACTGAATAACTTTGGAACCAGTTATCCGATTTTAACAAATAATGCTTCGTTCGACAGGTATTCGATTACTCGTTTTTGGCATTTCATTAAAATTACATGAAGTCCTGGCGCAAGGACCATATAGTGGAAAATGTCCTTCATCCTTGAATATCATAAAAAAGGATATTTTGTTTTTCTTAATTTTTTAATGACAAATAGGCAAAATTATTCTTATTGCTGTGTAAAAATTTTATAATGGGTTCTCAAGGGGCTTGGAAGTTATAGGAGTTTTTATTTAGCTATATTTACAATTTCCATAGTAAATGAGTGCTTTTTATACATTTTAACGCATTTATAGTCTAGTAAATTGAGGTTTAAATGCCGAATAAAGTAAAAATTACCACAGACCATCAAATTAATGTTATAAATATGATGGTGAATAATATATGAAATCATGTCTTATATAATAGAAATATTGGAGGTCATAGGTCAAAATAATAAATTTTTTGAAATATCTCCTTTTTCATACATCCTACGGATTTAGGATTTGTAGAAAATCAAATTTACGGCATTTTGGTTTTAGACAATTTTTCCCTATTATCAGCAGTTTTGGAGTTATAGTCATTTTTTGTCCATTTAAGATATGGTTTTCTAACCTCAATATATTTTGAACTACAAACGTAATTGTGATAACTTTATGTACAGCCAATTGTAATAACAACATGTCAATATTTAATTTTTCCCTATTATCAGCAGTTTTGGAGTTATAGTCATTTATTGTTCATTTAAGATATGGTTTTCTAACCTCAATATATTTTGAACTACAAACGTAATTGTGATAATTGTTCGTTTAGCCTTTAATAAGGAACACATATAATTATTTAATTATACTTCTCGCGCCAGAGTTGCTCTCTGACCCATAGTGCTATCTCTTGTAATGTAAATTTTAAAATTAGTTTAGAAGCTGTAATGATGAATCGAAGTTAAACTTGGTACGCATAACTCGTCTGGTTAAAGAATCAGCGTCGCCGATTTTAACAAATATCTGTTCATATATACATACAACATGAAAGTTTTTTCACAGTATTATATATTGCATTTCATTATGCAGTTTATATTGCATTTCACTATGCAGTTTATTCCGTATGTATTTTACAATATGAAAACTTGCTCCGATATCAATAAATTTTGGTAGGTTTAAAGCTTTTATCAGTTATATTATATCCACTAAGTTTCATTAATTTCGATTTGTTATTATAGCCTCTAATTTAATTTAAAAATTTACATTACAAGAGATCGCACTATGGGTCAGAGAGGCGCGAAAAGTATAATTAAATAATGACATGTTGTTATTACTATTGGCTGTATATAAAAATATCACAATTACGTTTGTAGTTCAAAATATATTGAGGTTAGAAAACCATATCTTAAATGGACAAAAAATGACTATAACTCCAAAACTGCTGATAACAGGGAAAAATTGTCTGAAACAAAAATGCAAATTTGATTTTCTACAAATTTTGTAATGACTCATAAATCCGTAGGATGTATGAAAAAGGAGATATTTCATAAAATTGATTATTTTGACCTATGACCTCCAATATTTCTATTATATAAGACATGATTTCATATATTATTCACCATCATATTTATAACATTAATTTGATGGTCTGTGGTAATTTTACTTTATTCGGCATTAAAACCTCAATTTACTAGACTATAAATGTGTTAAAATGTATAAAAAGCACTCATTTACTATGGAAATTGTAAATGTAGCTAAATAAAAACTCCTATAACATCCAAACCCCTTGAGATCCCATTATAAAATTTTTACACAGCAATAAGAATAATTTTGCCTATTTGTCATTAAAAAATTAAGAAAAACAAAATATCCTTTTTTATGATATTCAAGGATAAAGGACATTTTCCACTATATGGTCCTTGCGCCAGGACTTCATGTAATTTTAATGAAATGTTAAAAACGAGTAATTCAAGACCTGTCGAACGAAGCATCATTTGTTAAAATCAGATAACTGGTTATAAAGTTATTCAGTCATCAACATTTCTAATTTTGCACAAAAATACCCGAGATGCCCTACTTTAGAGGCCCATAAAATATGAACCGAATGATGTAAGGATCACGCCATAGAAACCGCAATTAAGAGTAGAATGTATGTTTCGAGTTATAACTAAATCGAAAGGGATGAAAATTTGAAGTGGTCGAAATGTCTGTAGAATTACCCTATAGTGGTGTAGGTATTATTCCGATAAAAATATTTCAGTCTTGAACATAATATACATTAGAATCCTGTAACTTTACCACTTTTTATTTAATTTTCATAGCCTTTTTACGTGTATATAACTATAAATATCTTAAAAATAATACGAATACGTATTTAAATGGCGGATATATTCGTAAAATTTAATAATTTGTTCTAGGCGAGAATTCCCGGAATCCCGGGAAATTTCAAAATGAATCCCGTTTTCCCGGGAAATGAATAAAAGAAAAACACTAATGTACATTTATATGTAATTCAAACTAAATATGTATATTTCATGTTCAAACTCTGCATGTTGACCATACATGGGTACTTCATTATTAATTCAATACATTAAGCATTCAGTAAATTTTTACTGGTTTTTACTGATAAAAATGTCAGAATTCAGTGAATGCTGAAACGATTTTCAGAACATAATTGGTAAAACTTTACTGAATACTGGAAATTTGTCAGCAACCATTTAACATTTATTTTTATTGAAATTTTACAGGTACTGAAAAGTGCACACCTATGATATTGACCAATATTTCTTTTACTAAATTAAAAAAAACGCAATTAGTAACAATTAAATGAGTGTTTAAAAATTAACCAAGTTTTACAATTTAATTTAACCCTTTTTCAGGGAAACTGATGAGCTTGCCGACCGTGGAAAAGAAAAATAAAAACAAAATAGTATATAAATAAACAAAAATAAAGTTAATTAAAACATTATAAAACTCCATGAAAAAATAAAAAATAACTTGATATTTATTACTCGTTTAAATTGATGGTGTGATATTTCAAGCGAAGATTATTTTTTGTGTTTTTAATTTTAATTAAAAGGTATTTGAAAAATGTTACCAAACAAAAAGGATGAAATTACACAAGAATCTTTAAAAAGTGTTAAGGCAACATAATAAATAATTTTTAAACAAAAAAAAAAAAAAGAGAAACGAAAAAAAAAACAAATAAACGACATAAATGAAGATGAAATTAAATTAAAACAAAAATAAAAACAACGCAAAATGCCTTTAAAAAAAGAAAACAATTTCAAGGATATAAATACAACAACAAGAAAGAGACAACAGCCGAAAAAACAATCCAGGCAGCAGTATAAACTACAAAAAACGACCTCATCAAATGTACAGCAGTCTACTTGAATTGTGATTTGTGACAGTAATGAAACTTTTTATATACTATTTCAAATAGAACAATAAAACCGAAACAAAATTATCGGATGGAATCAAATAAATATTTAAAAAAAATTTCAAAAATAAAACAAATCCTAAAAAAGTGAATACAATAATAAAAAGGAGAAAAACTAAACAAAAAAATTCAAAGAATTCGTTAAACATCTTCTATATATTGCCATTCAAAGTCAAAGTCAGTGTTGTGAAAAACATCTAAATACTTATTTTTCATCAAAATAATTCTTTCTCGTGTTGCCTCGAAATCCTTAAATATAAAACAAAATCGGGTAAAACATAAGAAGGAGAAAAAAGTGAAGAAAAAAAATAACTAAAACGTAACAAGCTAAATCCTTTTATACTTTAAACAACGATACACAACGGAGTTCCTTCACCCGTAAATTCCTTTTCTGTTCACAATGTTTTTTCTTCAGCCTCCTCCTATGTTGAGGCAATTGTCGGTAGAATATGGATGTTTGCTGGTTTTGATTTTCGCTCAATTCTGGGTTCATGTTTTCTGTGGCGAGAAATTGGGTAAGTAAGTAAACAAGCAAAAGCTTAAAAAAGAAATACACTTACAAAAGTTTACATTCAGCCGCAGAAATAAAAAAATAATTTAAATAGACTTACGTACGCACACACAAATACTGAAAAAAACTTATACTTCAACTTAGGCTGATCCCAAAAACATTTACCGAAGTTTCTAACTAAATTACATGTCCCACCTCTAGGCGTTGATAAAAGGATTAAAATTACTCTTTCAAACATTTTTTTTTCGATTATTCCCTTATTCATTTCAAGGAATCACAAAATCTAGTAAATCATATACGATTTTTTTCAAAAAAAAAAAAAAAATGTTTTTGAATCCTCATATAAAAAGGGAAGTGTTATTGAGTGACTGGTTCATCATCACACAGCTAAAGTTAGTTTATAAAATTTTGACATTTAATATGTTTTTGACTATATACTTGTGTATGTATTTAGATCCTCCAATGTATTTAGATCCTTTTTCGAATATTTAGTGATAAAAAAAATATTTTACATAATAAAATAACGAAAGTTAAAATTAAACTATATCTTCATAAACTCCGGAAAAGAGCAGATAGGTGAAGACGTACATTACCCTTTATGTATTCTAAACTAATATATAATCAATCTTACCCTTTATATCTTCTAAACTAATATATAATCAAATATTTGAACTTGCAAATTTGTAGTATTTAGGTTAAAAAGTGAAAAAAAATTGTTTGTTCACTGAGTATATATAATATTTTTCAATGTTCAGAAACTCAGTTTCCTGCACGTAATTCATAAGAATTTTCCAATCAGTATTAGTCAGGAATGTTATTTCCGGAATAACATTACTTCCAAGATACTTGGATCTAACTTCGACGAATGCTTGACAGTGGCAAAGAAAGTGCTCCAGAGTTTCACTGTCCTCTCCACATGCTCTACATTAGTCACATCACACAGGATTACGAGATGTGCTGGTAATCCTGTGTGTCGACTCAGAATACGTACCAACATACAAACTTCAGACTTGCTCATTTTGAGGAGATTTCTCGTCTTGTTCTCATCAGGGTCACCCTATAGGATCTTTGCGGTTCTACCGACCGTTTCATTACATTTTATGAGGATCGGTCCGCCTTTTGGGATTCTCTCACCCATATTTTTAGTTCAGCTTTTGTTGCGTCGAATTATTTTGCGTTCGTCAGGTTAACTACCTCGAGCTCCCTTCCCTTTAAAGCTATTTCATTCGCCCTTTCGTTGCCGACTACTCTCGAGTGTCCTGGTACCCATATGATATAAACCTTACCTCTGGGAGATTATTAAGTTAAAGCTTTCTTACAATCCAATACGGTCTTAGATTTAATTCTATCGCCTGATATCGCCCTAATTGCCTTCTGGCTGTCGGTAAATATATTAAGCGCTGTGGCGTTTCAAAGTTTCTGTGTCTGGTATGCGATCAGACACGTCCGATGATTGTGTATAACCTTCCAATGTGTCCAGTATACATTGATGACGTGTCCTATAACCGCTTTTGGCCAGTTCGTCTAAAGTAAAGAGACGTTCGGCTGTAAGCGCCGCCTCATATCTTAAATATGTTTCAATGGGTGGAATATCTAGCAACGTTCAACCTTTGGTTGAAGTAGTACACATAGCACCACTTATACCCAAGCAGCATGTACGCTGAACTTCCTGTAGTAGTTTGATATTACACGTTTTGTCCAAAGCAGTCCACCAGATTATTGAAGCATAAGCTAGAATTGGTCTAATTACACTTTTATAAAGCCAATTTGTCATAGTAGGACTAAGACCCCATTTCATGCCTATAGTTCTCCTACATATCGCCCAGCACCGATGTGCCTTGTTGATCCTATCCTCTATGTGATGTCTCCATTTTAATTTCCGGTCGAGAATTACACATAAGTAGTTAACTTTGCCTGTCACCGGTATCTTCTTGCCCAGGAAGCAAGGTTCAGTATACGTAGAAAACCGTGAAAAAACAGATTTCTGTCTTCGCTGGGTTAACATTCAGACCTCTTGGCTGAGCCCAGCTCATGGCCGTATTCAGAGCCTTCTCAGTTCTTCTACACAAGTAATTTGGATCCTGCATAGCAGACAGGTCTAAGTCCTTTCTCGGTTAGGGTCCTTAGGAGGCTATTAATCGTGGTAACCCAGAGTAAAGGTGAAAAAATGCCACCCTGTGGTATACCGCGAAATACTTTTTTCCTAATAGTAATATCGTACATTTCGCAGCTTATCCATCTGTTCCTTAGCATGTAGTTGATCCAGTTACGGAGCACCCGGTCAAAATAAAACTGGTCTAGGGATAAGAGTATCAGTGTGCACGTTATTGAAAGCACCTTCGACGTCAATGCATACCGACAGTGTATATAGTTTGCTATCGAAGGATTCACTTTTTTTGGTAGAGTGACGAAGAATTACATATGTTATAAAATAGTTCGTTTCATACGAAAAACGGGGGATTGTATTTGCTTGCAATTATTAGATTATGGTTCAAGCCAATTTAAATAGCCGTTTAAAAAGACAAAAAGGCTCTTGGAAACTGCTAATTCTTTTTACCATGCCCTTTTTTTGGCAATTGAACAAAGACCGTATGGTTTTTTCTAAGTGACATGTGTGCATTAACATAAATATATAAACATAAACTTGAGCTTTTAAGTGAAAAGTGGGCCGTCCTAATGTTCAATTGTATTGAAGGCTATTACTTGTCTAAGATATCCTTTAGTTCTACAGCAAATTGTATACATTTACGCATTTATGTTTACATGTGTGTACGTTCATATGTAGTTACACAAGCATTTATTTGTACTTCCATGTTTGTGTAAAATATTTGTTTGAATGGTTGTAAAGATGTTTAAAATAAATGGGATGATGTCTAATGAATCGAGACAATATGACATTGAATTTATAGATTGAGCTAAAATATTTTTTATTGTAAGCTATTCTGAACTATTCAGAAATTAAAATTTTATAACAAAACATATCTATCTGGTTATGGTATTAAGAAATAAATGCCATATTTGCTACTCTGCCAAAAATACGAAGTATTATAAGTGAATATGTATATATTTTACATTAAAGAGATTTTAAATTAGCATACGTTTGCGGTATGCTCTTATGACAATTTAAAAGCACTTTACTTTAAGACAGATATTGAATTAAAAACATTTTTTTGTATTATGATCATTTAGTAGCAATTGAGCAATATAAATGGCCTGATGTCAAAATCTAATATTCCAAATTCTGGATCCTACTACATGGCATCATTGTCGATATCATTACAGTTTATACATACATCTGGAAAAAATCAACCATTTGACACTCTTGATTTGTCTTTATATTTCTAGTGTTGTTTTCTCCATTATTGGCGATGTAAAACGTTTCAACTTGCCACACTATCTTACAGTGTGAAAATAAATCAGAAAAAACTAATATACATCTAAAACAATATAAAATATTATTTATATTTCTCGCTTGGGGGACTTTCCTCTGAAACATATTACTTTATTTAGTTTCATTGTCATTGTGTCTATCTATGGAATATATAGTATTTAAAGAACAAAATTGTTTTTTGGTTTCCTTCTATTGAGTTCAGTTCATTGCTTATTTAGTTATCGAAAATGGTCGGAAGTATGGTTGATAATCGTAAATGTATATGATTGTCTATTTACTTTTAATTTATTTAATAGTCCTGTCAATACCCAATACATATTGCCAATATTATTGTATGTTTGTTCAAAATTACCAAATATTATTTCTATGTTTTTGTTATTTTTTGTTATTGTTATATTTAATAAAAATAACAAAGTCATTCATTGCTTTCATTTCTCAGTACAGTTGTGAATTGCAAAATAGTTCTATCTTAGTTGAAAGTATTAAGAAAAACAAAATGTTTAAGGTTAATTTATATATCTATATTCGCATAATATCGAAAATTGCTCTCAATTGTACAAATTTTTGGTTATAACAATTAAGTAGTTTAGTTTTTGTCGAAGAGTACTTTTAAATGACTTTTAAAAATAGAGTCAACTTAAAGTGCCAAATCATTGGTTTCAACACCAAAAAACATATTTAGTTCTATTATTGCGTTTAAAACTAAAGTGAAATATAAAATATTTCGTTTTTGGTTCAAAATCCTGTTAATTTTCTACATAACCTTGGAAGTGTGTTTGTGTGTAGCAATTTAATGGCTTTGTTTAATACTTAAATTCCATTATTATACCCTCCACCACCATCAGTGGTGATAGAGGGTATATATAACTTTGTCATTCCGTGTGTAACACCAAGAAATATTCATCTGAGACCCAACAAAGTATATATATTCTTGGACCTTATGAAATTCTGAGTCGATTTAGCTATGTCCGTCTGTCCGTCCGTCCGTCCGTCCGTCCGTCTGTCTGTCTGTCTGTCTGTCTGTCTGTATAAAACATTCTCACGTTAACACGAAGCAACAAAAATTAACGAAAATCACCCAAAATATTTATTATTGTCCTAGGCAGTTTGGTATTGAAAATGAGCAAAATCGGTTCACTCCGGGAAAAGTTATGAATCAAAATTTGAAACAACCTCGAAAAAAATAAGCATTTTTTACACATTCTGATGTAATTTTCTCGAAAACTGTGAATGATAATTCCATGAAAATCAGCATACATTCGTTTCTATACAAGAGCTTGATTCCCGCTGAAAATTGCCTGAATCGGTCCACAATTTCATATACCTCCCATACAAAAGTACATATTCCCGGAAAATGGGTTTTTATACCCTCCACCACCATCAGTGGTGATAGAGGGTATATATAACTTTGTCATTCCGTGTGTAACACCAAGAAATATTCATCTGAGACCCAACAAAGTATATATATTCTTGGACCTTATGAAATTCTGAGTCGATTTAGCTATGTCCGTCTGTCCGTCCGTCCGTCCGTCCCTCTGTCTGTCTGTATAAAACATTCTCACGTTAACACGAAGCAACAAAAATTAACGAAAATCACCCAAAATATTTATTAT